GTTTTTCTGATATAATCGTTTTAAATATTAGGCTTTCTCTACAGTCACTCTTTATAGTCGTGTGCATATACCCATGTGTATATGTGTTTTCATGTAAGTAGATGCTTCGTCACATACATGTTTACATTTAGCGAGAGTCTGTTTGTTTGTTGAATTTCGCGAGAAGCTACTTAAGGTTATCTGCACTAGCCATTCCTAATTTGGCGTGTGATAAACTAAAGGGAAGGCAGCTAGTCAACACCACCCACCGCAAATTCTTGGGCTACTTTTTTACCAGCGAATAGTGAGATTGACTGTCACATTATAACGCCCCCACGCTAAAGGACGAGCATTTTCGGTGAAGAGATTTGAAGTAGCGACCCGCAGATTGCGAGTAGAGCGCCCTAACCACCAGACCATGCCAGCGTGTGATATGTATGGGTTGGAATGTGTTTAGAACAAAATATGTATTTTCAGACAAGATATTAGCGGTTGTTTGTGTGAGACAGACAGGACTCTACCCGTTTGCGGGAATATTTAAAATTTCCAACTCGTGTTTTTGACCACGTGTCTATGAACAACCATTCTTATGATTATTCTAAGGTGAAGATCCTCAGCAGAGAAGACAAAATTAACAAACGAAAAAATAAAAAGAAGCCCTGTTAATAACAAACAAATCCTATTGTTAACAAATACAAAGGTTTTCATTCATATCTTTATTAATTGCTCACATTATTTAGTATATAGAACAGATTTTCGTAGGCTATAAAGATTTATTTTTATATTTATATATTTGAGAGTTCATTGAAAAAATCCCCCCCCCCAGTGGCACAGCGGTATGTCTGCGGGCTTACAACGCTAGAGACCGGGTTTCGATACCAGTGGTGGGCAGAGCACAGATATCCTATTGTGTAGCTTTGTGCTTAGCTACGAACAAACGTACAAACCAATCATTGGGCGTGAAATATAAAGATTTCAAGGTATAAGTAAATATAATCTTAGTGTGAGCCACAAACTCGTACACAAAAGCTACCACTGTCTGTAGAACGGGGATGACATCATCTTTCAAATGTTAATCATTAGCAAGCTTCATGCATGCTAATTGAATATATGATTCACATTTCTTTCGAAATGTATTTGCGAAAACGACTCTTCGTGTTATCGACATTACCCACAAGATGTCACTGTTTAATGTTTGTTTGTTTGTTTTTGAATTTCGCGCAAAGCTACACGAGGGCTATCTGCGCTAGCCGTCCCTAATTTAGCAGTGTAAGACTAGAGGAAAGGCAGCTAGTCATCACCACCAACGAATAGTGGGATTGACCGTCACATTATAACGCCCCCACGGCTCAAAGGGCGAGCATGTTTGGTGTGACGGGGATTCGAACCCGCGACCCTCAGATTGCGAATCGAGTGCCTTAACCACCTGGCCATGCCGGGCCCTGTTTAATGTTAGTTTTGTTTCGTACGTGGTTTTTCCAAAAGGTTTTACAGTGGTAGTTAAGTTGGAGATGAAACCTATGATATTTGTAATGGTAAATGTTGGGGCATAGTAAAATAACGTATAATACTGTTGGTTTATCGGAGAAAGGGAAGGGATGATATTAAATAACGTATAATACTGTTGGTTTGTCGGAGGAAGGGAGGGGAGGATATGAAATAACGTATAATACTGTTGGTTTATCGGAGGAAGGCAGAGGATGATATGAAATATCGTATAATACTGTTGGTTTATCGGAGGAAGGCAGAGGATGATATGAAATAACGTATAATACTGTTGGTTTATCGGAGGAAGGCAGAGGATGACATGAAATAACGTATAATACTGTTGGTTTATCGGAGAAAGGGAGAGGATGACATGAAATAACGTATAATACTGTTGGTTTATCGGAGAAATGGAGGAGATGATATGAAATAACGTATAGCACTGTTGGTTTATCGGAGAAATGGAAGAGATGATATTAAATAACGTATAATACTGTTGGTTTATCAGAGGAAGGGAGGGGATGACATGAAATAACGTATAATACTGTTGGTTTATAGAGGAAGGGAGGGGATGACATGAAATAACGTATAGTACTGTTGGCTTATCGGAGAAATGGAGGAGATGATATGAAATAACGTATAATACTGTT